TTAATAGAACTGTAGTTTCCAAGTCTGTAGAGCCCCTTAGCCTGCATTAATAGAATTGTAGTTTCTTAGCCTGCATTAATAGAACTGTAGTTTCCAAGCAAGAGTCCCACTATATTCTGTGTGGATCAGGCCTCATCTGGAGTAACACCTTCAGCTCTGAGCTCCTCATTTTAAGAAGAGTTTAGACAAGCTGGAGCAAGTTCAGAGAAGGTCAACAAAGATGATAAGAAGTATGGAGAACAAAACCTATGAGGAGAGGTTGAAGGAGCTGGGCATGTTCAGCTTGGTGAAGAGAAGACTCGCTGGGTGACATGGTTGCACTCTTTAAATATTTCAGTGGCTACCACAAAGAGAAGGTGCAGGCTTGATCTCTGCTACTTTGGAGGGTAGAAGTAACTCTAGTGGTTTTAAGTTACAGGATAGATTTCAATTGAATATTAGAAGGAACTTCTTGACAGTGAAAGCAGTTCAGCAATGGAACCAATTGCCTAGAGAGGTGATGGAATCTCCTTCTCTTTACATTTTCATAAAGAGAATAGCTGGAAATACTCTAGTTGGAGATCCTTCAGTGAGCAGGAGATTGGACCAAATGGTCTATAGGACCCCTTCCAGCTCTATGACCCAGAACTTAGAAATATTGTGTTACTTTCAAAGGAGGGAGCTGTAAAAATATCCTTTTGCAAAACAATTCAGTGATTGGTAAGTTGGTAACAACATTACAGTCAGCCCTCCGTATCCATGGATTATGCATCCATGGATTCAACCATCCACAGTTTGAAAATTTTTACAAAAAATTCATTCCAAAAATCAAATCTTGGTTTTGCCATTTAATATAAGGGACATCATTTTACTGCACCATAGTGTATGATGGGACTTGAGCATCCATGGATTTTGGTATCCACAGGGTGTCCTGAAACAAAAGTCTAGCGGATTTGGTCCTGGAACCAAAGCCAAGGGCTCACTGCAGCTCTTTTCCCAGCAAAGCAAGTACTATTAATTCATTCTGGTTTTTTTCATTATGGGAAGTGTCATTTTTTTTTTAAAAAAAAAAGGTATTTTGAAAAACTTTTTTTAGATGAATTATAAAAAGAACTAAGAAGTAAGAAAAAGTGACAAGTAATGCAATGAGTAATGGAGGAAAAAAGAATCATGAATAATAGAAATGAGTAATGGGAAAAACTAGGGAATGGTAACAGTTCCTTCTGACATATAACTGTCCAAGGTCTGAAATGAACTTTTGCATAGTAGATGTATGCTAGGGTGAGCAAAGTGTGCCCTCTGGGCTATTTTTGTAGCTTCCAGGTCCTCACTGGGATCAAAATATTTTGCACCTAAATACCCTTAAATACCCTCCAGTGGCTGGGAGGTGCATTTTGTTTTTGGTCATAGTTTCCACTTTGGGGGGCATTTTAGGACCAAGACAGACCTTTCTAAAAACAAGAAGTGATTCCAGTCACACTCTGATTTAAAAAAGGGCTTTCACTGTGCCTAAAATGGCCCTTGGGAGCTCAAAAACACAGTAAAAATGTGCCCCAAACTTTGAGGTGTTTGGAGGCATTTGTTTGGCAGAGCGTGTATGCTTGGGGTGCAGATGAGCTAATGTGCCCCTTTAACCTCCTACCCTAATGTAGGCCCATTATATCCATCCAGGTTTTGCCTCTCTTGGATTTGGATTGTCTCCTTAAGGGGTCTGTATTTGTGCTTGGAGTCTTTACTCTATGATAGAGGTAGGCAACCTAAGGCCCGGGGGCCGGATGCGGTCCCTCGAGGCCTTTGGACCGGCCCCAGGCCGGTCCTGCTGCTGCCGCCGCCGCCACCACCCATGATGATATTGATTATTGTTGTTATTACTTGTTCTTGGGGTTTTCTTGGCAAAATCTCCACAGGGTTTTTGCCATGGCTTTTCTGGGGCTGAGAGAGTGTGCATGCATATATTTTTTTATTTTTTTAAAAACATTTTTATTTTTATTTATTTATTTTTGGTGCTTTGGCCCCCCAATTGTCTGAGGGACAGCAACCCGGCCCCTGGCTCAAAAAGGTTGCCTGACCCTGCTCTATGATTTGGAGCCTTATGGCAGGCGCTCTGATATGTGAGATTGGGTTAAGTGGTTTTGGTTGAATACTTGCTTTGGATTTGAAGACCAAGTGGCCCAACAGACTGGACTAGGTCGGTGGACCAGGCTGTGTAAGGCTGCATCCACACTGCAGAAGTAATCCAGCCTGACATTGCTTTAAGTGCCGTGGCTCAATGTTATGGAATTCTGGAAATTGCAGTTTGTTGTGGCACCGTCTGGTGCCACAACAAACTGTAATTCCCAGAATTCCATAGCATTGAGCCACAACACTGAAAGCAGTATCAGACTGGATTATTTATGCAGTGCGGATGGAGCCTTTATCTCCCACCACCACTTGCTCACACTCCTCTTCTTCAGTGGTACCTGATAGAAGGGTCCTGCTGTTCTTTGGAGTTTGTGTTTGGTTTGCTGAGTGGGACTCATGATACTGTAACTTTAGGATGTGGAGAAGTGGAAAAGAAGGGGTTCAGTGTTTGAATGTCCCCAGTAATGTTGGGGTGGCCAAGTTGTGATTTCAAAAATGTTGAGTAGAGGAGACTGGAGTGAAGCCAGGAGCCGAAGCGGCATGAAGAAGAATCTGGACCATAACATACAGAGGGTGGTAGAATCTGGAGTTTTCTGGGTTCCAAAACCCAGGACAGAGAGGTATGGTCTTCTCAATGGCTGCTCCCAAGCTATAGAATTCCCTTCTCCAGAAGGCTAGGCTGACACCCTCTCTGTTCTCCTTTCACCAACCTTTTTGTGTCAACAGGAATTTGTCAATTAATTGGTTGTACAAGAGTCTTTTTATGGGGATATGTGCAGCATCTTTATTTCTGTTGTTGCTGTCTGCCTTCAAGTCATTTCTGATTTAAGATGACCCCCAATATGAACCTTTCACATTTATTTTGGCAAGATTTGTTCAGAGGGGACTTTCCATTGCCTCCCTCTGAGACTGAGAGAATGTGACTTGCCCAAAGTCACTCAATGGATTCCCATAGTCAAGTGGGGATTTAAACCCTGGTCTGCCAGGGTCTTAATCCCACACTCAAACCATGATACCACACTGGCTCATCTTTATTTTTACTTGTACTACTTTTAAATGATTTTGTACTTTTTAAAATTAATTAATGGGGTTAGGGAATTATGTTTAATTAATGTCATTGTGATATTTTATTATTGTTATCCACCTCAATCCTTTGGGGAGAGGCAAGCTTTAAATAAATTATTATTATTATTATTATTATTATTATTATTATTATTATTACTTTAATAAGATAAGTTGTTTAATCGTGTCTTCATTTTTTAGTAGCAAGTTTTTTTAGCTCTATCTTATGGCTAAAGGAGAATATAAATTTAATAAATAAATAGAATGGGTTAGTGGTACCTATACAAGGCTATAGATCCACTCTTTGGGGGGTTGCAGACTGCCAGAAATAGTGCAAATTGAGTCCACCTTTAGGGTTAGGATTAGGGTTAGGGAATAATGGGAACTGTATTTTATTGTGGCACCAGAGCTCTCTGACAGAGAAGGTTCAATGTCTCAGAAAGAAAACAATTCCCATGATTCCCTAGCACTAACCCTAACCCTAAAAGTGGACTCAATTTGCACTATTTCTGGCAGTCTGCAACCCCCCTTTGTTATCCTTAAAAATCTTTAAAAACCCAACATCTGAATGGCCCCTAAAATCTAATTTGGACTGCAGAAAGTATGCAGTTTAACACCACTTAAACTACCATGGCTCAATCCTATGGAATCCTGTGATTTGTAGTTTTGTGAGGCACCAGCACTCTTTGGCGGAGAAAACTAAAGAGCTTGTAAAACTGCAAATTCCAGGATTTCATAGGATGGGACTACAAGAATTAAAGTAGTGTCAAACTGCATTATTTCTGTAGTGTAGATTAGACCTAAGACAGCTTTCTACATAATGTTCCTTGCCAGTTATCAGATCAAATCATTTTTATTGCTGGATGATGATAATATTGGGTGGTTGACCATCATAACTAAAATAAAGCAGAGAGCTGGGATAGAGAGGAGCCTGTGTTAAACCCCAGGGATTTAATCTTGTGCATTATTTAGTCTCATTCAGATAGATTATTCCATATATAATAGTTGGTTTGTAACCGCTAATCTTTTTTCCCTCAAAGAGTGATGTGCAGTAGACTGGGTCAACCAGAATTTTAATGGATGTTGAAATCATAAGCAAGGTTTTTAGAGGGCAGAGAATTTCTGCTGTTCTTTTCCCCAACACATCCTTATCACTCACGGAGTATTTTGTCTCACCCCATTTTCACAATAAATGTGAGCAAATTGAACAAGGAGATGAATTTCATAAGGAGAAAAGATGTCATAGTCTTTGATTTGATAATTGGAGATGAGAATGAAATTGCTTAAAGCTTTCAACTGAAATCCTGCAAGGGATGTGTGTGTGTTAAAAGGAACAGTTTTAATGTTGGCATAGAAATGTAGTTAATTGCCTGCACCAGAACAACCCCAAAATTGCCTGTGTATACTCTCTAATTGTAATAGCCCCCGGACTGGTCAGAGAAACTGTGTTGGAAGACAAGGGACAATTTTGACTAATCACTCTTTTTGAATGAAATCAGTGTGTAGTTAATCTACTATTATAAATTCTGGCAGGAAGGCTTCCTAAACAAGAAGGTTTGTTTAATTGTTTGGGCTGGGATCCAAATCACCGGAGAGCATGCAGCGCACATACTGCTGCCATTCACTTGGGTGAAAATGCCTTTTTCATGTCTGAGGAAATAGCTGTGGCTGGCATAAAAATATTTCTAGCAACGATTGCTTGAACAGGGATAGTGGTGGTGAGGAATAAATGTGAACTGTACCCAGATGTTTACTGGCTTTCATAACTGTGATTTCTCATATGTTTTTGCTAACACAGACATTCCAACATAACAGAACTGTAAGTATTCCATAGAAGAGGCAGTGTGGTGTGATGGTTTGAGCATTGGACTAGGACTCTGGAGACCAGCGTTCGAATCCCTGCTCAACCATGGAAGTCCCCTTGGGAAAGTCACACTCTCCCAGCCTCAGAGGAAGGCAAAGGCAAAGCCCCTCTAAAAAATCTTGCTAAATACAAGCTCTTTCTTCCTCTCTCTTTCTGTTGAGTTCATCATAACCACCCATCTTCCTACTGTTCTCTACATCCTCTGATTCACTCCAATGTTGTCTCTTTCAGATACCTTGTGTGTTTGACGCAATTTGCCCAACACTTCCTCCCCCAACACGAACATTGCCAGCAGGCACAGGTTTTTCTGGAGACGACAGCCATTCATGTGCTTAGAAGGTAAATGTGGTATTCATTATACTGTCTTCTTTCCCTTATTTGTCCCAGCCAGGATGCTGTGGCTGGTATCATGCGCTCAGCCTCATCTTCCTGTTTTTGCTCAAAAGATCAAAAGAACTGATATGTGTGCTCATCTTCATCTCAAATTCAGATTTTATGCCCCCCTGACAGGCTGTGCTGCTCTCAAAGAGCATTTGCTCTCTGTTGCAATCCTAGCTGCTGTGTGTAGGAAAGAAAGAGTGCCCTTGACTCAGCGGCAGAATGAACCCCAGGCATCCATGTCTGCTAGTGTGCAAAGACTTGGCAAATCCAATTTGGTGGTGGTGGGAAATGCTACAAGTATCTCTGACTATTCCACTTCCAGAATGAATGCTGCATATCTAGGTTGAAGGGATGTATCCAGAAGAAAGCAGCAGGTTTGTAGTCATGATCATGATCAACCTGGTGAAGAGAAGACTGAGGGGTGACATAATTTCACTCTTTAAATATCTAAAGGGCTGACATAGAGAGGAGGGGGCAGATTTGTTCTCTGCTGCCAAGTTACAGGAGGGTAGATTTTGATTGCTTTAGAGTAGTTCGACAATGGAAATAATTACCTAGAGAGGTGATGGAGTCTCTTTCTCTGGACATCTTCAAACAGAGACTAGGCATCTGCCTGGTGAAGATAATGTAGCTGGATTTCTTGCACTGAGCAGGGAGTCCAACTTGATGGCCAGTGAGACTCCTTCCAACTCTATGGACCTTATCACACGGGGTCTAAAGCAGACCTAATCCAAAGGATATTAGTTCCTCGTGTTTACACACGACGTTGCACCAAAACTCGACAGAATCCGAAGCTAATCCGTATTAGTTCCCCGTGTTTACACACGACGTTTCACCGAAACTCAACAGAACCCGGAGCTAATTCGTAATGAATTGAGATCTTTTGACATTCGGTTTTTCGGGGAAGTACAAGCGAGCTTTCGGAATTATTGCGCAATGGCCGCGCAGGCGAAATACATATGATCACGCAATACGTATTGTGAAGCATTTCAGTTCATTTCGGTATAGAACTGAATTTATTCTTATTTTGGTTACTTTTCGCTTCATGGCCAGCGTGTGATAAGGTCCTATGATTCTCATAGAGAATCCTCACCCTCATCCTGTGTCAGCTTCTTTATGTAAAACTTTGTGTGAAGAAGCCTATTGTACATACTGGAATCAGGTTATTGTTCTGTATTAATTTATAGCATAGGAACCATACCACTGTACCATATTGTGTCACTATATCACCCTTAGTACACTTGATTATACCTGATTTTGGAAACTAAGGGGGAAAGCAGACTGGCAGAAAGAGCCAGCTTGGAGGTGGAGTGGGGGCATGGTGACCGCCCGCCCCGACTCCACCCTCAAGCTGGCATCACACCGCCCGCCTGCCCAGATGGTTGGTGGCATCCCAATGTTTCTGCAGTGCAGCGTTTAGACATGTGGTGCCAAAGAAACATGGAAAAGCCGACGCCACTGCAGCAAGGTTGGGTTTTTTCCATTACAAAAAGGAGTGGCATTTTGCCACTCTGTTTTGGGCTGGAAAAATGCTGGATCAGGGCCATGGCATGCAGTTGCCATGGCCCCGATTCGATGCTCATAGGGGTGGTGGCAAGCCACTCCTTTGGGGCTCTCTGTTTAGCTCCTAAGTAAGGTTGGGTCTGGTTAGTACTTGAATGGTAAACCATCAGGATGTCTAGGTAGAGAGAAGAAAATTTGTGCCTGAAACCCTGCAAAGGCTGACGTTCCTTATCCCTTATATGTGTGGATATAAGAAGTGCTGGATGAGACCAAAGATTTACCTAGTCTGTCATCTGTAGATATTATTTAGTTATTTAGGGGCCGTACAGATGGCCCCTAAGGGGCAGCTCCGTGCCGCCCTGGAGTGCCAGATTGGGCCCATGGCAACCACACACCATGACCCCGATCTGGCTCTTTGCCACTCCAAAAAGAGCTGCCAAATGCTGCTCCTTTTTGAAGGGGCAAAAAGCCACCCTTACCACTGTGGCTCTTCTGCGTCCCTTTGGTGCAGTGTATCTACACACTGCGCCAAGGGACCACCCTGACATCATGCACCATGCGGTGAGGCACGTGCCATGATGGCGGTGTCGGGGCAGAGTTGGAGCGGCTGGTATGTGGTCATCCCGCCCCAACTCCACCCCCAGCCAGCCCTTGTGGCCGGTCTGTACAAGCCCTTAGTTTAGTTAATTAAAATATTTGTGCACCATCTTTCTGATTCCAAGGGTGCACAAAGCAATATGTTTTGGCTGTCACTTGCTATTATGTCAGCTTTGACTTGTGGCAACTATATGAATGAGAGACCTCGAAGAGTTTCAGTCAACTGCCCTGCTCAGGGCTGGCAAACCCAGGGCTGTGGCTTCCTTGATTGAATCAATGCACCTGTACTGTGATCTCCTTTTTTTTCTACTCACTTCCATTTTACTAGGCATTACACTTGTCCCTCCACATTCACTTGGGTTAGGGGCACTGGACCTCTGTGAATGTGGAAAAAATGCAAATAACAAAAACACTATGTTTTTATCTGAGACAACACGTCTCTAGGAATCTCTAGGTCCTACAGTGCAACTCTGTGGTCAACATTTGCCAGACATTGACCATGGAATTGTTCTGGAGGAGCTACAGATGCCTAGTGGAGTGTTTTCTCTAGGAATCTGTAGATCCTTCAGTATGACCTTTGGTTAAAGTTGACCATAGAGTTGGGCTTGAAGACCTACCGGTAGTTATTTCTAGAGAGAACATATTAATAAAATCAATGAATAATCAAATCCACAAAAGTCAAAGCTGCAGATATGGAAGGACAAGTGTATTGTCTTTTCCAAAGAGTCATGTTGTTTCATGGTATGTCTAAGTTTACTCATTTTAGTTTCTAGGAAGAGTTCAGGTTTTATTTACTGTAGGACCTATTCATTTGCCTTTTTACCTGTTCATGGTATCCATAGAACTCTCCTCCAGCACCACATTTCAAATGAGTTGATGTTCTTCCTGTCAGCTTTCTTCACTGTCCATCTTTTACACCATTCATAGAAATTGTAAATACTATAATTCTGACTTTGTATTTTGACTTTGATATACAATGATATATCTTTATACTCGAGGATCTTATCTAGTTCCTTCATGGCTACCTTTCTAAGTCTTGGACCTCATCTATACTACAGAATTAATGCAACTTGACACAGCTCGGTGCTATAGAATTCTGGGATATGTAGCCTTCTGTGTCAAAGAGCTCTAGTGCTAAAACAAAGTACAAATCCCAGAATTCCTTAGCATTGAGCCATGGCAGTTAAAGCTGTGCGAAACTATATTATTTCTGCAGTGCAGATTAGACTTTAGTTTCCTTCTGAATTCTAGACTGTAGTTTCCATTTTGGTTAATGGCTGAACGAAACTATGAACATCTTTTAACTATTTCATTGTTATTGTCAAGTAATAATATACAGTTGTAAAAAAAAGTCATGTAAAACCACCAAAATTCAGACAGATTCTTGCAAAACTATTTTTATAAAGCTGACTTTTTATGACATTGAAGAGTTGTGAGCAAGATTCCCAATTTCAATCACTTGCCATATCCAGGATTTTTTTCTTTTTACAGACAAAAAAGTGCTGAGGCAAAAATGATCCCAACATATCTAAAGCTCTTTGTCACCGAGTACCGTACTTTTTGGTCTCAGCCAATTGGGACAAAAATAAGTAAATAATAATCTCATGTCATCATGACACCAAGAATTAGATATGACATGGCTGCCACATCTACTGACTCTGATGGTCAATAGATTGATTCCACTTGGTGGGGTGGGGACTTATAAGAAAATATTAGAAGTGTGCATTAAGCCTAATACTGTCCCTATGCTAACACTACAGCTAACCCTCAGTACAATAGAATTTGAGAGGGGCCAAAAAACACTCCAAAACTCACTCAATGCTAGTTGGAGGTTTTTTTTGTTTTTTTAAAATCTTTTTAAAAAATCTTGGTGTATGACATTGGAAAGCCATCAAACTCCAGCCCAAACAAAGGTTTTTATGGCTTTAGCAAAGATGTGGCTGATCTGATCTTTTTGGCTAGTGTTTTCCAAAATCAGGGTGCTACAACAGAAAAGGCCTTGACTCGTATCTTCACCAGCCTAGTGTTCCTTTGTGTGAATCATACCAACAAGGATTCTGAGGAAGATCACAAATTATGGGTAAGCTCATATGGGAGGAGGCAGTTCCTACTCTGTGCCTCTGGGAAACCCACAAACCAGAAAGGAGGGAAATAGCCTTCTCTTGTTATTTCTCCCCAATGATTGTTAATCAGAGGCATGGGACCTCTGAAGGACAAGTTGTGAAAGTTACTTTTGAGTTACAGTTCCCAAAATCCCCTAGTCAGTGTAGCCAGCTTTTTACAAAACAAATTCTTCTCTGCACCTAGAAACAACTTGGATAGATTCTGTCTGATCCTAGAAACTAAGGGGCTTTGCAGACTGGCCTAAAGGGTCAACCTGGGGGTGGAGTTGAGGTGGGGCAGCCGCACGCCAGCCACCCCAACTCAACCCCAACACCGTCCTGACACCGTGCGCCCATCCACACAGTGCATGACATCAGGATGCTCTCCTGACGCAGCGTGTGCACATGCTGTGCCAAAAGGGCGTGGAAGAGCTGCAGTGCCGGTTCTTAGGACGGCCTTTTG